TGTATCCAACGGTTTCAGTATTCTTGATGCTATTTCCTCATGTATGGTAGAATGAATTTTCTTGTGGTCTTTGATGATGGTTTCTTGTTGGTGTTTTGATTCGACTTTAAACACTTTTTCATGAAATTTTGTGGATAACCATTCTTTTTGAAGACCGTTTGTAGGTACTTTTCTTCCATTCTTTTCAAACCAGTAAAATCGCTTAATTCGATATTATGCAAACCAAAAGATCCAACAGAAAAAGGGGATAAATTTAATACCATCTACAAAATAAATTGTATGAACTGTAACAAGCATTACATCGGCCGAAGTGGGCGTCCCCTGCGAATCAGAATCCAAGAACATAAATCAGCCGTAAAAAGACATGATATGTATTCGTTGGTATCAATGCATGCAGACAACTATGGTAATCAGTTTGATTGGGATCACGTCAAAATCTTAAACAGAGGAAACACGAAAAGTGCCAGAGAATTCCTAGAAGCCTGGTACTCAAGCGAAAATGCGATTAACAAACACGTTAATATAGATGAAATATATCAATTAATAAAAAGTAAATCAGGTGACCAAAAAGTTTAAAATCCTAGTCAATAGAAAGTGGTCAATACATATGTGAAGATAGTAACCAGGAGACGCAATTACATCACGCATGAAGAAATTTAAATCATTTCACTCTGTGCTAAATATGGCGCCGAAGATGTTGTCCGGAAGGAGGACGAAAGCTTCGCGACTAAACCAACCAGCTCAGAGAACACTTTTAATTGCAAAGCCATATTAAATTTTTCGTAGAAATTAAAGACTCAGTGCTCTCAGTATCAGTTATTATAGAGTGAAACTTGCCTGAATTTGTGGTGAGGGTATGTGATACAGTGAGACAGTAATTCTATATCTCCTTCAAAATATTATTGGTGTTGTTTCCATTCTCTACTTCCGAACACCTCGAATACAATTGTGGTATTTGCATTTATAACTATATATCCCCTACAAGTGTAGTATTCACTGAACACCAGTGAGATTATTGAGGCCTGCAAATTCTATCTGGAAATCAATTGCTTTACGTGTAAATGAACTCTGTATTGACACATGCATATATCAATAGCACTAGTAATAATCGCAAACGAATTTATTGATGAACGATGGATTCATTCGACACTGATCTAGCCTGTGGTTCATTTATTTCGTAGGAGGATCTCGAGTAGATTCAGTCGACATGAAAGGCATGCAAACAGTCTTTGTATTCATTCTTACAAATGCAATGGACACCACACAGAGAAAGAGACTGAGTGTATATCTCAAGGAATGGCAGATTAGGTGGAGCATATTTGGATTTCATACTGTTTTAATCAACCGGTTGTATTCACTGATCACTACACAAACTCGCACACATTTCTGATTGGTTTCCAACAGAAAGGTGTAGAATTCTTGAGGGGTAAATATCTGAGAGAATGGAATTTGTCAGCATATGAAACAACACTGCATCACATGCTATTCTGCAGATACGTATTTCACTTGTTGATCCTGACGAAAATGAAGGATTTCGCGACAGAACACGCTGAGAATATCTGTACCATGTGTTAACACACCGTGTGAAATGAAGCTTCATTATGATGATGATTAATGGGTATTTGTTGATCAGGAATCACTGTTATAGAAGATGTGGATGGTTTGCTAGATCACTACATTCGAACAATTCACCATTTCAAGTGTATTCGTGTTTGTAGCGAGCAGAACCGATTTGTTCTGGTGTGAACTGAGGAAAGCAATATTTTCGTGTCACCGCATAACTAACTATAAATCCCCAGAGTAGTACACAGTTAAGAGTTGCACAGCGATATTAAAATGACAGCTGTTTGTGATAAACTCTGCGCTACTTTTCTTCAATTGTTAAGTATTAAAACGCAAAATTGCCCCAACAATACTGTTAAGCTGCTACACAGATGAAATTATTTCTGAGACACAAGTGCAAAACATTTACCATACAACAGAATTATTTCATCAAAATCACTTATCAGAATTACTTGAGTATCAAGTAGGTTAATTGCAGCAAGGTAGGATAAAAATAAAACTAATAAAGTTCTCGAAGCAAACCTTTAGAGCAAACACTCCAAGGTCAGAACCAACTTCAGTAAAAAAGCCACAAACGTAAAACAACGCACTGTCAATGTCATCATCACACAGGCAGAAAGAGACGCATTAAAATTAGAAGTGAAACAACAAGAAAGACAAATGATTAGGATAGGTAAATATGTGATGTGCAAGCAATGGGAAGGTGATGTATAAATACAACCTGGGAGTAAAGATTACAATAAATACAGAGTTCGCTGAAGTAACAAAGTATTCATGAATATTGCAGATTCAACGTTGAAGATGAATTTCGCAAACGTTTATTGAGGGACAATTTTCTGTTATGAAGCGTTCTTCGCATCCCAAGACAACGCCCTCAAAACATATCTCAATACTAAGTGAGCTGATGGAATTCTCGATGAGTTTATCAACTATCTCTCCTGATAAGAAGACGAGAAAGAGCTAGCATCAATGATCACTCATATCCGTGTCACTGTTTGTCACTAAATCACAGCCAATCAATATTACCATAAAGACTGTGAAAAGTACTAATACTCTACTAAATCTGAATTGCTTAAATTGTATGAAGGAAGCTTTTGAAAGATTCACTATTCATATTTTTGAGTAAGAAAGTGACCTTCAAAATTCCTGTTAGGTTTAATTGCAACAATGTTGTGTTTGAGAATTTGGTGTGTTCAATCGCTCGATGATAGCTTTTAGTAATTAGGCCACCAGCGACAGAACAATCAGAATCAATGGTCACCAGTCTACATATGATGAAGTAATTCTTGTAGTCTGTTTACTCCTCTCAACACTTTGTTGTTTTTATCACAGAAGTACATAGCCTGATTCATTCTGTGGGGTGAAGTACTTTTTATTATCTAGGTCAGATTCCTGTAAATTTTTAGATGTTAAAAATTCACTTCATTTCACTTCGCTTCCCTACTCTTTAACACAATCAGCATCAAACGGTTTAAACAGAGTAGAGAAGAGAAGGATCACACTGAATCACATATAAATATCGGCGGAGATGTCTGTGAGATATGGTGATAGGACTTGATGAAGTGACGTAGCTACTCACATCACATGCTAACAGCGGAAATGCTGATTCCACACACAATTGCAATATCACTCACAGTTTCTCATCCACTGTCGTGGAATACACTTCTAAAATTTTCGTGAGATATTTATCACATAGTGTACTGAATATAAGTGTTCGTCTTCTGTTATTTGTGATAGCTGTTTGAGGGAATCTAACCAGATATTAGAATCAGCCGAAATCGTTATTTATAAAATTATTCCAATCAAGGAATCTGAGTATACACCAGGTGATAAGTGAAGAGACACCAGTCACCATTGTGTATTCAAAGCAAACATCATCGAGTGGAGCTGATAAAGGCTTGTCAGCTTGAAAACGTCACAACTGACATTCTGCAATGGTTTTTGGTTTAGCAAAAATTCACAGACATCATTTGTCATGGTGATCATTTAGAATTTAACTGTCATTTCCACAAATACTCCGGCATCAAGTGTATACAAAATTGAATTGTGAATTGTGAACCAATCTACAGGACATTCACATGTAATTTTCAATACCTTAATTTGCATCGGTGGTCGCCTTTCAGAAGTAAGTTGATTCTGATCCATTCCTCATCCTCAAGGATATCTAGGATATGTGCCACTGGTAGAATCGATGTTGAACTGAAGACACTCAGACAAGTCCTCATGGGAAACGAATATCCTTGAAGATTCTTCGAGGAAAACATGAAAGGAAAGAGATAACCCGAAAGGAATCGGATGGTGCCGAAGAAACTGCTATTCATGAACGTTGAATTTAAAGGTGATGCTGCGGCCAGTATACTTAAGAAATGCTTATTCATATCACGGATCACGTTTTACTGCCGACCAATGAGCAATGGATTTGTGAATGATGAAGTTCCGTTAATTGAATGTGTGTTCCTGTCAAGCTAGGTATATTGGCCAACATAGTGCACACTTTCCAATCGCATGATTGGTAAAAAGAAAATGCAATACAGTTACTGGCTGAATTCTCGAGCACTTGCCGAGCCACTCAAGCCACACAACTCCGGCAGAGTCGTCTTTCAAGATTATTTACAAGGTGAGGTCAAATTGTACAACGGTTGTCAGGTTTCAGCATTTATGTAAAGCGGAGATGTTCGCAATTCGTGAATGCAAACCAAAATTCTGCATACAGAAAGCAGTTGTCAAGTCTCTTATTCTAGCACGATCTTGACCTCTTCATAAATCTTTCCTTGTTGATTCTTTATTTTAAATGATAACTTTGCTTTACCTTTATTAATAGATTCACTATGATCACTCTCAGATGTTCCTTCTGTACATTTTCTCACACTCTTCACACTTGTTAAATGACCAATAAATTACCTTTCTTCTGACTCAATAACAATCTCAGCCTCAGCGAATTTCTGATGCTTCCTTCCTTTGTGTCGTTGAGTATCACGTAATTTGGAAAGTTTATTTTTACTTTTGAAGCCACTTCTTAGTACTTTTTCTCAATTATGTCACCCTTACTACTCCATAATGGAATACTATACAATTTCGGTAAATATAAATACGACTGTGCAGCCGCCAAAGATGACTTCGTCGATAAAGAAAATATTCTTCGCTGAATTGTCTTTTATTAACCACATGAATGAACACTACACTTGCTCTTGAGTTTCATCGACATCTAGCAGGAATAATGTTATAAGACTGACTTGCTATATAAAAGAGAATATTAATTGTAGCGTGAAAACAAGAATACTGTAGTGATTCTGAACGTACACCAACCAACCCACCCACTCACTCACCAACTAACTTAACCAACCACCAACAACTAATCAACACACTCACCTAATTCAACAAATGGAAAACAAGATTAGCACTACTATTATTTATCAACCGACAAACGCATTACAACGCTACAACTCACCATCAGGAAGAATATAAAAGCTAGAAAATTGGACCAGAGAAAACAAAGGAAGGAGAGAATATGTTCAACTCAATGTACATTTACATATCCGTGATAACGCTGCTGGTGTTTGCCACTATGAACGAGGGTAAGCATTTATTAAATGATTGTGCATTTGTAAATCAATCTTTTCAAATTATTCTGTTCTGCAATATGATGAACGTAATTGTTTTCTCAAATCAGTGTTATGTAAGACTATTCCGTGATCATATTTCTGAACGAAAAGTGATTATGTCATCAACATCACTTTCAACAACACCTAAACACATCATTTTCCGTTAATGATGAATAATAATTCGACGTCGATGATCTCTCTATTTCCGAAATAAGAAATGAGTGCAGCAAACATTCAATTCTATGCTGTCAGGGAAGTTTAATCCTCCAACTGGTGTTCTGCTCATTAGAGTGCTTCAGATCACGAATCAAAAACAGCAAGTACTCAAATGGCTCTTCAGGCGTCTGAAATTAACAAATTCTTACATCGTATTCATGTGTTATTAAACTTACGGTTCGTGTAACGGTGGCTGTTCTCTTCATTTTGTCAATTTTCAAGGTAAATTGACTAAGGTAGAAGTCATCGAAAATTCGCTTTCGGATGCTCGAAGTAAGACGACTGACTACGTGTTGATATATTATTGTTCTTATATTAACCTACACAAGCTTTTATGTGTGTACGGTTCCTCGATGCTTCGTCACATCCTATCGCTTCTAATAATCGATGCTAAATAATTCTCGCTTTCCTTTTCATAGAACAATTACACGGAATAGCTCAGTTGATTATCAGCAGAGAGGCAGCGATTAAAGAACTGAAAGGTAAACATTTATTTCATTGTGATTGATAACTTGACTTGGTCTACTCGATTTCTATACCTCCTGTTCTCATGAGATATTTGTTATATTTTTAGAAGTTTTTACCTATAGGCTATTTCGTGGTAATGCTTTGACTTTTGATATTGTGAATACATGGAGCCAGCTGACATGAGATATACTCAAGTGAGGATATTATATTAGTGCCACGCGAAAAATGATGAACTCATCAACACTCATCTACCTGATTTCCCAATTCACTTCACATTTATTCACATTCGCTCCAATTGGAAATTTCACACGTTCATGTTCATGACATTCATTCTGTTGTAAAGTGAACGCAATAGGGTGTAGGCATGCTCCAATAATAGCCAATTAATTCACTGTTATTTACATGCTGAATGTTGAATTTTGTACAGGTGTCCGGTGCCATGAAATCGATCTTATTACTTCTCTCTTCCACTAGATAAGATTAATAGTAATGAAACTGCAGAAACAGGCAACAGAACCGTTGAGAACTGTGAGTGATGGTTTAATGAATTTCTATGACTAACAAACTCTTTCAGATATCAGCTGTTGGAGAAAATATTATGAAACCTACTATGGATACGTATTATTCGAAAGTATGTTCCAAGATTTATTTTAACCGTATATACTGCTTTTTTGCATAGGGATCAGATGCGCTTGGGTTATTGCTCTTGTTTAAAATGTTCAAATTTTGGGTTGAAGATGGCAACTTTGCAGCCAGAACAATTCATTGATATCCTACAACAATAAAAATACACTTGCAGTCTTGAAACAATTATCTTATTTAATGAGATTACTCACTGATTTAATGTTGACAGCTATGTGATTCATTGAAGCTGTTAAGAAGGATACATTTTCGGGGAATTTCACTTCTGCTTTCTTCGAGATGTTATCAAACTTGCTTCACTCTACATCCCAGTTTGTCGCACACATTATCTGATCATTCCATTTTGATTCTCAAGTTCAAAACTCTAGAGTCAAGCATCACTTATCAGGGTTTAGTCACCGATATCGATCATTAGGCAAATGAGGTTAACTAGACATTCCGATCGAATGAACACTTCACTGAATCGATGAAGATATTCATCGTGAAGTTGTGTGAAAAAACACCTAATGGAAAGTGAACGACTGAGGAGAATCATTTCCGTCTTAAGATGTAATTAGGAATAATAACTTTCACGAGAACTGGGTGTTGTGGGCTGGTCAGTGTAATTACATTGTGATAATCGGTAGAAGAGATTGACAAAGTATGCTTGAATATACTGTGGAATTAGTCGGCTCTGATGTTAATCTACATACATTACAGTGATGAATTCTGCATTACAAATTTTTCTTTTGCATGATCTCTTAATGTCAGTTATCATTTTCTGTCCTACTAGGGGCCAAAAATGCACCTGTGGATCATGGTAAATTGAATTGACGTCAGTTGGCTTCATGTGTTGCTGTTATCAGTTTATCTGCATCCAGTATATAATTTGAGTGTTGACAATGCTTCTCGAGTTACAATGTATTAATCGAGTTTGTTCAACGGCGAAAACCGATGGAATTCGACAAAGAATTATCTACCTGAGTGTGTTATTAGTGTTACTCATTGGCATATAAACGCCTCATCTAGTTAACCGAACTAAATACATATGTTATAAGATAAGGAACTACTGCATTTAAGCGCTGAAGTTATTCTTGGGCATCATGTAGTTAATTCATATTCGACTTGCATTACACTCACCCTCTATTTACCAGCCATCTTCTTTCCCTACTCTCCCTGATCCCTCCATCAAAAATACTTCTTGAATTATTACTTCAACAATTTGTCAGAATAACTACTACCCACTGATAGTGATTTTCCAGTGTACACGACGCTCACCGAAATTTGATCATACATTTTACAGGCCATTTTATGAAAAACATTCATCACTGTGTTACTGCGCAATCTGAAACTAGAGTTATCGAAGACAATTACCTTGGTCCATATAACCGTTTCAGAATATATGTGATAAGAGCATCTGAATCACTCACCAATCAGGATACAAACTCACGAATTTATCTGACAAAACCTTCAGAAGAAAATGAACATGAGTTGATGTGTTGTTTAAAATACATTTTACATACAGGTACCTTCACTGTGGACCATTCCCTCCAACAATGTTTCAAGGAAGAGGCTAATGCTCGCGAAGGTAAACAGTTAAGTTTTGAATCCTTCCTTCTCACTTATCCAATAAGCGTTCCTTACTTAATTTGCCAGTTACGTCGGCATCAACTTAAGTTTTGAATCCTCCTGGTTATCTCAGACACAAAACAGAGAGTTCGGATTGAAGAGCTGTAACCCCAGATAACTCAGTCTACATTGATTTGTGTGTGTTCTTACATTCAATAGGTCTGTAGTTGCATGAGTATTTGTTATTATTGGTAACTTCAAAGAAAGTTTCCCTTTTCTTTGTTTCAATGTGCTGTTCTTCCCTTCTGTTTCTTCATCAGCTCAATGGCAATCAGTATCAGCAGCAGTCAACTGTGAATATTATAAACCGTCAGGAAAAGATAAAGGTAATCTCCTAATGGCAACTCACCCTTGGATTAAATTATGTAAGATTACTGCTTTGAAGGATATTGGGAGAACATTTCTGAATTTCATCTGGTCAATTTTTGGAAGTCAAATGAATTCGCATATGAGTTTCTTCCACAGGATTCACATACCTTTCGACCTGGTAGCGTTGTCAGTGAATTCGAAGTTGAATTACCAATGTTCAGGATACAGTATCAGGTGTAAAAATAAGACTGCTTTCCTTTCAAGGTCGCTATCTTTCATTACATCTCTAAAGTGCAATGACGTGAAATCTGAAGTCTGTGAAACTGTCTGATGTAGTTGAGACTGCATTTGATGTAATTTGAACACTCCTGTATATTGACATATAAGGTGGAATTTTTAGTCCACTTATACTGATGGAGTCAATATTATGCGATTTCAACACATAATAAGAGAGGTGTAAGGGTTTCTCAAAAGTATTTTGAATGTCTTCAAAGACGTTCAATGATCAACATTCAAGTGAATGAACACGTAGTCGTCTGCTTAAACAACAACACACTAAACCAATCCATCAATTATTGCACAGTATCCTGCATGATCACTTTTCACTATTTGATTCTGTGATATTCAATGTTGAAATTCAGACATTATCTTTCAAATTTCAGATCTTCGGGAATTGAAGAGTAAAATAGAAAATTCATACAGTCTCAGAATGATCTATGGTGATACTATGTGTAAGTTCAATCTGTTTTGTTCATGAGTTTTACACACTGCATTTATGCCTGAATATCTATTCACAAAATCAAGGCACGAACAATTACCTGATATTCTGTGTAATCAGCAATCGTATTATGTGCAAAACTCTCGAGGATTACATGAATATTGTTCGCTTGATAATGGCTATACATTTAAAACCGAAACCAATAATAGATTTGTCTTGGAATATGCAGGTTCTCGGAGAACTGTGCATCAATTAGTAGTCAGTACGCGACGCTTGTTTGTACATAGGTCTATTTAGTGAAGAATATCCACTGATCACAGAAAGCTAGAATAATCTGAAATGTCGACAAACGGATCACTTCCCAGGTAGAAATCATCAAAATGTCCGAAGGCGACAGTTTATTTACGCAAAGGCTGACCTTATGCACATCCACACGCATGACTACTACTCTGTTGCGCAATGTGGAAATGCAAAGAAGGAGTTTGATCACTACGAGTGTTTCCCTGACAATGGAGTAAATTTAAGAGAAAGTGATCGGTTGAGGAGAAACTGTTCGGTGTGTTCACATTTGCGTTTATAGGCGTCTGAGAGACCAGCCGTCACATTTGTCAAAATCAGAATCAACAACCATAACGACAGTGAATCGTCATCACAACGCAGACTTTGAAATAACTGCCGCCTTCCATTCTATACCAGTAAACTACCAAACACATGAGTGTTACCACAATGCCAGCAGTGGTGAATGATTGAGCATGAAATGTTTTTCATAAAATAACTTGAATACACACGCACTTATTCAATGTATTTTATTACTACTGATCAGATATCATCTTTTGTAGGAGAAGGAATATATATACTGATGAACATGGTTTGCTTTCCTTCAACTAATACGTCACCTTTATATTGCTCTTTCACTTTCAAGTGCTCACGAAAATTCATGAAAGTCTCATTAAGAAGTTGACACGTAAGATTTACTTTCTTTCCCATACGAACTACCACATTTCATTTTTCAAAATTGAATCATCAGAGAAACTGCCATCTCATCTTTTTAGATATCTGAAATTGAAATGCAATCCACGTGAAAACAGTATTATTTGTATTTTGAACACCAGGGACAAGAGTTGTATGTATCGGTGGATCATCATTTTATTCATGTAATATTATATCATATGGACTCACGCTTAGTATTGTGAAGACAATCATGCAATTTATAACAGACTCGGCATTCACAAAACTCAACCGACGACTTCTTCTCAGCTGAACACTAGTTGTGGTCAAGTCGATTTAAACCATGTCAGACATCGCCAATACACCCTCATCGACAGCCGCATCTACACCCACATATACATCAGTGCGAATAACTGCATTTGAGGTATCTGAAATTTAATGAATGGATCAGGATGACTGGAGTCACTGACTCTCCGTTATTCTGGGTGTGGAGTGATGTTCATAACAGGCGTTGCTTGTTCTTCAAGTCCTAAAGTTTACATCGGTAGTCAAAACTTATCGATTCATTTTGTGTCTCTCCCAATACTCGTAACATTCAGCCTCGTTTACCTTCTCATGAAATCATAAATGCTCATCTGCTTTTATTTTCTCTACAGGAGTAGGAGGAAGAAACTAGAGAAGAATGTGAATGTCCTGCTGATACTAGCATCGGAAACGTTTATTCTGCATATTACTGAAATGTATTGATGTGCAGTGGATTTATATTTTCATGTTAACGTTTGCTGTCTGCTTTCTAAATACAATTTAATCACCCACTTAATTAACTTATTCCTACTGGTCAGATGAATTCGGTGTTCTCAGTCTGAGTCATTTGCATGCCTAACAAATTCACACTTTAAATGATGGTGTATGTACTTCAGCGTTTTATTTCATCAGTTAGGAAGATTTCCACTTGATAACGGTATCAGTGAGATTAGCCAAATTACTTTTATCGTATCAAGAGCGTCTGTATTGCTTATTGACCACCTCAATGGCAACAATATATGAAAGAATTGGAATTTGATTAATTTGAACATGATGTGACTGAATGGGCTGCCCTGCGACCTGATATCGATGGCTCAACACTAGTTATACAAGTATGTGTCGGTAGTGATCGTAGCGGTAACAGTGAAGCAGTATGGTGGTAGGTCGAGCCGCCCAATTACGCCAGTTACATATTCACTAATCTAGAGATTTCTGTAATTTCAAGGCGTAACACGCTGAGTGAAGGATGACGGGATAATATTTTCACCAACAGAAATTATATGTATTACGAAATGTACGTCTCGTTTGAAAATTCCCGATTTGGATATTTTCAAAATCAAAACAGGCGATTCAGCGAAGAGACTCTTTTCAAACAGTCGATTATCAAGCTGCGCAATCATATATGTATGCATATATACGTAGTTGTTTAAAAAATTATATCCGGGGAGTAAATCGAAATGCGGGTGTGAATAATGAAATACTAATAGTAGCATGAACTGCAGGTAAATTCTTTCTAATTATACTGATAGTTAAATGTCAATATACGACTCTGATTGAATTCATTTGATATCAGCGACAAACTGGGCTAGAAATATGACTGTGTGACAGATCACTGACGTGACAGCAAAGCATATCTATCCACAACTGAACCGTTTTCTATGCAGGGCCAATTCCACACATCGTTGTGTTATATTCTGGTGAGGCTGAAAATTGAATAAAACATCACAAATACAAAGTGAGTTAAACACGAATACAAAACTAGTAATACTTTGGCTTTCAAAATGCAATAATAATACAATCAGTGAATAAGTGAAATGTGAACAGGCTGTGCTCAATATATTGTTAGCAAGCGATTGTTAGGCTCACTAAATGTGATAGCCTAGTCAGAACAAAATTTAGATAAGATTGGTTCAATTCACTCAATCTGATCTATTCATCATTCTACTCACAGGTCTATTTTCTTGCCCATGGAATGAGCACTTCAAACTAATGTTAGTGAATACATAGATTCCACGTTATCTCAAGCACTTATTGGGCTTCCAGTGATGATGATTTACTAGGAGGGTGTTCTAATCCAGAGGATGTGTGGTCGTACGACATGTTCGGAATCTCCCTGAAATTAAAAGATTAAAAAAATTACTGCAGGTTAGTGGTCACAGTAGAAAAGGCTTGTAAACTAGAGTTAATAGTCTATTTCAGTGGAACAGCCTGTTCCACAGATAACGGCATCGTGATAAAAACGGACCAGTCTATGCATCACATCTGGAAAAGCAAGTGACTGTTTGGTGGTGGAATTGAATCAACTTCATACAGATAAGAATATGGAAATCGAACACCACTTGTAATAAAAGATCCGGGTAGCGCATAATTCCTAAACTGCCGAACTCTCTTCAAAAACGCGTCGTCATCCGAAAGTCTCCATAAAGTCATGTTCAGATATAAACAGCTGAAATCAGCTTGTCAGTAGCACAGATTGACAAGAATTTGAAGATTATTTCGCAGATAAGTGATTTTTACACTTAATGTGAAATGAAAGTTAAGACCAGTTGTTCTTGTGTAATGTTATACAAAATAGTATTATGGCTATTCACGAGTGGCACTCAATCCTTCTTCAAATATTTTCTCCATTCAAGGTTAACCAACTTTGTTGATGTTATCCACCTAAATTATTTTATACAACTTGTCTGTTTTCTGTAGTCTGCGTGTATAATCTGCTCTCAAAGGATAAACATCCATTTCCGTTGAAGTTCTCTGCAACCAATGTACTGACATTCATTTCGGCTTTTAGTAATCATCTTCTCATGGTAAAGAGGAATTTACTCTGCAAGCCTTCTTTATGCTCCACTCTTTCTTTCTGTCTCACTGAGAAGTTTTCTCATGCGAACCTGTTCATTCTTGATCAGTACATCTGCACATTCACGCAGATCTACTCTTGTCTTATTGATGAACGCATAATGATAGTGGTTTCCACATCTTCCAGCATGGACACCAGACTATTTCAGGTTTATAATTTCTATTCATGATTAATCTTATGTTCAGTACGTCTGCTAGTCGTCAACAAGACCAGTGTTAGGGATTCAACGCTCAACTCGAATCTCTGGTTAACTAGATCGAATTCTGGCTGCAAAATTATCATCGCAGACTTCTTACAAGAAATCTAAATGATGTCCTTTGTTTAGTATTCTCATAAGTCCACGTATTCTACTTAATTTTAATATCATTTACACTGTGAATCAAGGATTCGTTGACAATAGAAGCACAACGGAATTTCTGCATGTTGTTGAGATGACGTGACTCACTAGTTGAATGCCAGTTGGTAGTGAGTGCTGTGTAAAGCTTACTTGATATTTTTGTGAACGCTGAAAATGCTTCTGCCCTATCTGGCTGTCTGGACAAGCATATTCATCAGTCAATCGGAGTTTTATTGAAGTCATTTATATGGGGCACCACATTGCAATGTTGGAACGTGTAAGCCGCAATTATCCACTGTCACGATAAAATCCTCGCTCAATGTCCACCGTTATTCAAGACTACATGGATGGTGACAGACTCCGTGCTGTGAAGTGGTGAAGTTGTTATCATCGACGCATATTGCTGATCGATCATTCCGATATCTTACCATGGCAACAGGCATGAGGTGTATCTAGATGGCATTACATGCCACAGTTTACCAGCATCGCCATCATTACATTGCCACTGTCTGATCCTGTTACAAGACTCCATAATTCACCTTCAGTATGAATAATACCGATTGTTATTGCGTTTGTTCTGGTGACATGCACAAAACTGAAAGGTACACAAAATCTTGTGGGCCTTCCGTTTATTTACGATAAGATTCGTGGAAGATAATTGATAGGAACTAACGTCGCTCACCGAACCCCTTGTTTGTTGCCACTTTTATACAAGAAATCGGCGTTCTGAGTTGCTTCTTGTGACAGAAACTGGGGCGCCGCACTGATTCATTTTAGTTTATTTGATCGTCAGTCACTCATCTCTCGGTGAACCTGTGAGCTACACATCGAATTCGGTTGCCCAATATTCGGATATTTGTTCCATCAACTGTGACTGAATGTATTTCCGAAGTTCAGAAATATTGCTTCTCGATTTATCACTAGTAATCACTCATCGCTCACTTAGCACACCTCTTTTTCTGTTTTACTCTTTATTAAACACTTTGACAGTTTTGCAGGTGGATATATGGAATAATCGTTGTTCACGTGTCAGTCAATCAATTGAGTCCTAATGCGAACAGGCTTTAGTTACATGTTATCATGAGTAGATTCTAATCGATTGCACTTCTGATATTCAGCTGAACACACACAAAGACAACTTTGTCTAAACCATTTCAAAACTACAAACCTTCAAGCCCCCATGGAATAAACCTGAGAGTGAATTATCTTCATCATGAATATGTTCTCATCCATTTTTCCGAGTTGAATGATTAAGTCACATTCAAAGGAAACACTTATACTTGAGATTAGCTGTTAATTGAAGTGAGTGGAAATATCAACATTTGTTCTCCCACCGTTCAGTCAAATGACATCAACAATCAGGAGACGTTCTACTATTAGTGTGTCAAGAAAATTCCCTTATAAGCAGTCAGACTATCACACTTGCCATCAGCATATCAATATCACAAGGTGAAGAAATATTGAAGATGCTAACATTCTAACAAGGGTATTTCCGGCCTTATCGAGTTATTGAATGAGGAAGACAATACACAAACAGATTTTCAGTCTTCATAATTGTATGATTTGTTGAAACACTTTGTGTTTACGTGATGCACACTGACTATCATATTTATGTGGAAGGAGTTGTTTTTGGCGTTGGTGAAGCTTCACTACATCCCATCTTCATTCATTATTCCTATTCAGAAAATAGAAGTAGAATTTCGTGTGTCATGTGGTTTCATCATGAAAAGCAGATTTTCTTCTGTAAAACACTTTTCCAAATGATTTGAACACTATGGAAGTGAACCAGTTGTCCTCATGACATGTAAGCTATTGTAGATCATTTTCATTGCTTGCCACCTCTACAATCTATACTTCCTTCTACCTCGACTTTCAAGTAGTGTGTCCATGTTTCTATAGAACATTCGTCCACCTCATTTGTTCAGCAGTTGTCTGACCTCATTCTGATATTTGTGGGATGACGACTCTTTTGACTTCATCGTCTTCGAGTACACTAACTGTGTTGTTCATACAGTAAGTGAAATTTCTCTGTAAGTTATTTATTATGAGAAATATGGATAGAGATGTCTGGTTCTCTTCCATTTTTATTTGTGTGTGTCACTGTGTGTTTGTGTGTGATTTTGTGTCTAAGAGAGGACTGATAACGACTAATAGTGAAGAAGAATTCAGGTATTTACTGGACTGTGTTGAGCAAAATATCATTACTTGCTACATAGCCACACGATCTAGGAGTGAATCGGTGTCATTTGTATCTGCTAGCGAACACAGTATCTGTAACAGTTAGACAGCTATTCTTTATCTCCTTCAAAATATTAATGGTGTTGTTTCCATTCTCCACTTCCGAACACCTCGAATACAATTCTGGTATTTGTATCTATAACTATATATCCCCTACAAGTGTAGTATTCACTGAACACCAGTGAGATTATTGAGGCCTGCAAATTCTATCTGGAAATCAATTGCTTTACGTGTAAATGAACTCTGTATTGACACATGCATATATCAATAGCACTAGTAATAATCGCAAACGAATTTATTGATGAACGATGGATTCATTCGACACTGATCTAGCCTGTGGTTCATTTATTTCGTAGGAGGAT